CTGGCCGTGCTCAACGGCAGGCGGTTTATTGTAGTACCACGTTCATTAGTACATACGGACCCTCACTGATATATGTTTACCAATCAATATATAACATCTTATATAGATGTATATAGCTGATAACAAGGGGGAGTAGATTTGGTGGGGTAGAAAGGCATTGGAAGGAAAAAAAAATTTAGCCCCTTTTTTATAATATATGGTGTCAACCTGAATCCACTGAAATGGAAAGCGAGCACTGCCCATAAACATCCGCAATTGCAGCGTTACCTAGCCTTCATAGGAGGAGGAGACGCACATAAAGAGGACATTTCCCCTTCTATGTCTCTTCCACCGTCAAATCCACTTTTCCTTCCCATCCTTTCCTATTAAGAAAAGGGTGGAAAGGGAAAGGGCCTAAAATTAGGCCTCCGCCACTAGACTCATCAGACGGAATTGCTTCCACTTCACGGCTGTTTTCTGTATGGTGCCTGCGAAGATGTTAAAGCGGGCTCTAACACTGTCTTTACTTGTCCACCTTTTGCTAATAAAAAAGGATATTGATATTAACTGGCTGGAACCGGTTTGATCTGGTTTAAAGCAGTGTTATCCAGTTTTTATCTGGATATAGATTGACGACTGTTAAATGATTCATTTTGATTTTTTTCTTTAGTAAGGCTCACTAGCGCTCCCTGTTTATGTCGTCACAAGATCTTTGTACTATAGCTGTATTTGTTATCTATGCCCAAATTGTACAACTAAGAGCGCGCACAGGACTAAACTATCGCACAACCGTTTTGTCGCGATTTGATTCCTACGAGCTTATATGGAGGTACACACGACTCGCTGTTTAGTTGTGCAACTAAACAGTTATGCGATAGTTTAGTCAAAAGTGAGCGCCCGCTCTAAGTGTAACTTTGTATAGACGTTTTCAAATATCTTAGTAGCTCGGAGTATCATACGATTGGCATAAAATAATGGCGATATAATCACGTATAGGAATACGGGAAAGGACTTCGAGCTTACAAGACATTTGAAACGACTTATACATTATTTAATTCAAAATTGCCATATATGTAATATTTTAGTTTTAATGATTTAATTTTATGTTGGTATAAGTGAGTGTTAACGTGGGTTTCCATTGTCGATATACTAGCACAAACATATGAAAATGGTAAAATAATGGTTTTGTTTAAGTATTCAGTGGAAACTCACATATCCAGTGACTTGTATTTTTAATATTGTCTTGTGATTTTAAGATTGTAAGGTTTGGAATTTTAATGTATTTGTGGTCAAATAGCATATAGGTCGATATTTAATAATAATTTAGTGCCTGTCCCACCACTGGCTGATAGAGGCTCAGATAAAATGACGTCACAGATAAGGTAACAAAATCCGATATTTTCATCACATATTTTACACGTTGGATTGTTATCAGACAATTAACAAATTGGTGGGACAGGCCTTTAGTCATTTATATATAGCACATAAACGTTTATAAAGTAATACGCAATTCACATTAATTAAATTTTCGTCTTATTTGTTACCGTAAAAATCCACTGTCAACATTGTAATACATACTAGTGGTTGCTCCCGACATCGTCTATGCTGAATCTAAAAATAATGCCTATGTTATTCAGTGATAGTGTAGCTTTTTAATATTGAAGGAATTTTTGAAATCGCTTCAGTAGTTTTTGAGTTTCGTTGTTACATATAAAAAGATCTTTTCGTTTTATAATATTAATATGTACTATGCGGCCGTGAATTTCTACGGAAACTTTAATTTCTTAACAAATAGAATACAATGAAATATATCTTTAGTGAATTTTGCACGTGTTTGAACAATTTTTTGTATCATAGTATTGTTAAGAGCTTGCTATGATTTATAATAAATTTATAAATAAATCTGATTTGTTGAAAATTCAAACATATAAAACAATATGGAACAAGGTAATAATTATTGAATATTTTTGATAGTCTATACAAATTTAGAATAACTGAAACAAACAAAAAAACATACAAATTGTAGTAAAAGTAAATTTTAATACATTGCCCTCTTTACACTCTTTGATAAAAAAGAGACAAACAATATGTGTTCGGTATATTGCCATCTCTTTCATAGTATTTGAATATAAAGACAATAAAAAGTGTGAAAGAGATAACATGTGATTTGTTGACGTGTTAGGTAACATGTTGCATTACAGTGAGAAGGCGCGAGGGCGCGTGGCGAACGGCGCGGCCTCCCCCCTCGCCCCGCTCGCCTCGCCGCGCCGCCGCGGCCGCCCCCGGCTGGATGAAGTGGACCATTTCACTGCATTCTACACGAGGGCACAACAAGCTAATTACAATGTCGCTGTACAGGTAAATCTATCTATACTATTATAATAAACCGTAAACGCACACTTCTTTGTTGCCTAAGATGTCAGCAATAACACCATATTTTTGAATAATTCTTTTTTTAAACAATAGCCCTACACTTACGTCACGCTTTAGGCTATATATTTTCACGCCATTAAACTTAGAGGGTAAAAATTTTGGATAAAAACCCTAATGTGGGAAAGAGACCATAAGTTGCTGCCAACATCAATGAAGCAAAATTGCCAAGGTTTGTCATGTCATGTAATTTTGACATTTTCTATTGATAATTTGACACACGTAAACAATAAAATAAAATTTTCATAATTTCATGCGAGTGAAGCCGCGCGGGAACAGCTAGTATAAAAATAATAATATACAATTGATTCTATCGTAATAACATAAAAACTCAGAGCAACACTTCTCGCCAGCCTCGCGCGCCTTCTCCCATCCGTCTCATGACATGTCAGCTGTCAGAGATGTGACGTTTATGCCAATAACCTAGTGTTGCGCCAATTCTTCAACGCGGTACTAATTTTCTTAACAATATAAACTAGATTTCGACCGCGACTTCGCGTGGAATTAAAAGTAAATGTCTCTGTGTTTGATATATCGTTGCCAAAATTTCATTGATATTATTTGAGCAGTTTAGTAACAAATTCCAACAATTTACCATTTAAACTTGTACATTTATATTACAGTAGAACCTCGATAACTCAAACCTCGGTAACTTAAAAACCTCTATAACTTCAAAAAATAATATGTTCCCTTCCTATCAGAGCCCAAAACCTCTATAACATAGACCCTTAATAACTTAAAACATTTTGTGTTTCCATTGGACTTTAACTTATCGAGGTTCTAAAGTTTAGATGGATGTTGGAAGATAACGAAGTTTGCACAGATGAATATATTCTGAAATAATACATTATATATATTGATAATAATAAATACATTTTTACTAAAAGAGATAAATGTAATGATAAATAAAATGTGAGTTTGTTGTAATTAATATTAATTATGTTAATTTTCTACTAACACTAGTTTGTAAGTTTACACTAACACCTTATGGATCTTTGATGTCT